TGGGTTGCTAGTTTGCATAAAAAAAATGGATGGGTGTCTCAACAAAACGAAGTGAAACACAAGAGTGTTTATATCGAAGTTGCTTGTATGTAGAAAAATGTGGGATATAACAAAATCTTTATTCTTAAATAAAGAATATATTCGTATAATTTCAGAAGAATATTATCTAAAATCTTTAAGAAGATTTTTTAAGTATAAAATCTTCTACTTACGAGAATATAATTTTTTCGGTGTATGAAAAACAGCTTTTTATAATCTTTTTACAATATGCGCGAAGAGAGAGAAATTCTTAACGCGCTTGCTTTTCTCTATTTGCATGTTGCGTTTAAAATTTGACAATTGCGCAACAAGATTGATAGACGTGTTCAAGATTCACGAGTAAGAGCGTTTTCTTGCGTTCCAAACTGATACGTCATTTTCAATTTTTTTTTTTTCGCGCATGTATGTTCTCCATCCTCTTTTACTATTATACACATAGTTTTTTTAAATGTTCATGCTGATTTTTTTTTTCACTCTCTTGCACCGATCTATACGAAAGAAAAAAACTATTTTTAATCTGTGCAGATGTGTCATCATCATGCAAGCAATAAATAAACGGAACACGTGTATTAAAAAATTGACATATTCCAATCTATTGTTGAAAAAACATTAAAATAGTAACAATGCAATGTCGTAACAACATTGCGTCGAGACAACAATATTGCTTCTTGTCCTCTTTGTGCGGTTTCGTGAGTTCTTTTACACATACGTAGAGAAATTTCACACACACACACACACACAGGAGCTGACTCTCTCGTATTATATTTATGCGGCCCGATTATGCGATACGAGAGTATTTTTTTATACGACAACGCGACGTGATATTGTAATTTTATTACCACGACGGGATTATTAAAATTTTGCGCAAATAATAATGCTGTTCGCGCGACACGAAACGACAATTCCACACCGCCGTAAATTTCAAGTACGGCATGACGCATTCCGTTGCGTCCGCGAGGTTACTTTTCGAGAAAACCCCCACGGTTCTCGCGTGCAATCTGCAACTGCAAGTCATTTTTTTTGTGTGACACACAACACATGTTTTATTAATACATTTCCAAATTAGGGGAACTTTATTCAATTTAACATTTTATATCATTCTTTATGCTTCACCTGACACTTATATAATTAATCTTTTCTAAAGTTTTCACAGAGATATTCTTTAAAAAACCGGTTTTTTCATTGTATATAATTAAACATATATTTAAGTACATATAAATAAATATTTAATTACATATATATATATATTAGGTCTACCGGAAAGTTCTGTCCGTTTTTGGAATAAAACAAAATACAAATTTTTCTTACCGTCAATAAACTTTATTAAATAATATAATTGCCATTATTATTAATGATTTCTTTCCAGCGTGAGGGCAATTTGTATATCCCATTTTTGAAAAATTAAGAAAAATTTGTATTTTGTTTTATTCCAAAAACGGACAGAACTTTCCGGTAGACCTAATATATATATATTGTTATGATACAGAAGAGATAACTCTAATAAAGATTAAACATATAAACATATAATATAAGATACGCTCGTTTATATAACAATAAAATATGAAAAAATAACAAGGTCTGTTTTTCGAGCTAAAGAAGGCTCAAGTGAGAGCCGAAACGTTTATTTGTAATTTGTAATTTGTTTTTTGATATCATTCTATATTTCTGATATCACTGTTTAATATTAAAAATCTTTAAGATCTTCTATTAGCTCGAAACAGACCTTGTTATTTTTTCATATTCTAATAGAGATCTTGTAACTCTAATAAACAACTTCAAATTCCGCAGCGATAGAAACAAGGAAATAAAAGTGAAGAGAATTAGTACATATTAGTTTTGGCATAATGCACTCATTGTTAAGGCGATGCGCGCGCGAGAAGATCAATTTGGAAGATTAATAAAATTACCGAGAGAGAGAAGAACTGAACTGTATATATATGTTGCTTCACGTATCCAGAGCGCTTTTGCAGAAAGACGCTCTGATTCCTGAGATAATCCGCGTTATCCGGGTTTCCTGGATCTTTCGTTGATCACGGATCCTCCGCTCTCATTAGTGGCGCAATTACGGGAGAAAGTATATTGCATGGCAAAATTGCCCACCGCAAAGGTACCCACAGATCGCACAGTATTTGAGCTTTAATAACAGCGATATTTTGCGCCAACTTTCAGCGCAGGCGTGCTGTAGTTTTGTTTTTCTGTTAGTTTTGTGTTTTTCTCTTTCCCCCGTTTACCTCCTCTTTAATCAGCGGCGAAAACTTTTAATGGTTTTATCTGGCGTGTCGCGAATCGTCGAATAACACCGTGTAATCGCGCCGACTTGATTTTACCACGGCACGAGAGTTATAACTCTGTTTAGAGAAAAATTGATTTAAAGCCGCTTTTTAGAAGAACAAACACGACAATTTATCTCGGAATGACGACGGTGTCACGAAACGCAAGAATACGTTCTTTCCCAACCAAAAGTTTTTAAGAAAACAAATAAAGTAGAGACAAGAAGAATATATTTTTTCAAATATGAAGCGATAGACATCGTCAACAAATGTTTTTCCAGAATACAATGTATGTAAAAACACACACAATCTGACGTAAATGCGACGAGCCTACACTGAGAAAAAAATACTATTAACTCAACTAAATGCGTTTAGTTGAGTTTCAGTTTGTTTTATCTGAAATACTTGGTTTTTTAATTCAAGCATATGGTAATAAAGATAAACAAATTCGTATAAGTTGAATTAACAATAGTGGTAATGAACATATTTAATTCACTAAACCGTGAATTGTTTTGTAACGAACATAAGTTGTGATAATTTCAAATAAAAGATATTGTTAAAAAAGATGAAACAGGCACTTCTTATTTACTTTAATTGAATATAATCTGAATTTCTTTGTACCAAGTATTTCATTTAATCAAACTGCTTATTTTTATAAGCAGACAAAATATTGTGTTGTCCTATTGTGTTGTTCAATTCAAAGTTACCTGTATTTAAGCAAATTATAATTTTGTTAAAACAACTAAATTGTCTTTCGGTATAATCATTAGATAAGTTTTATTAATGACTAGGATTAGATACCCTATTATTTTAATTATTAGTTTAAGTTAAGAGATTAAATGTTTGAATCATTAAATTTGAGGAATTTGGCGGTATTCTTATAGTTAGAAGGAACTTGTCGAGTAATTGATAATCCACGATAAGATTGACTTAATTTTTTTTATTTTACGTATTGTTGTTTATTCAAGAGTAAATTAATAGATTTTTATTCGAGATATAGTCAGAGTTTATAGTAATTCAAATCAAAGTGTAGATTAGTTGAGATTAGATGAGTTACATTAGTTTTATGGGATATATTGGATTAATTGATTTAATTTTAATTATGAAATAGGATTTAATTGTAAAACGATATAATAATTTTGCTTGAATTTAATTAAGAATATGTACAATAATAATAATTAATTATATCTATTGAAACACGATATTTTCTTACATTAATCAATATTTTATTGACAGCCCGTGACCGCTGCGTATAGTTGAATCGAATACTATTTTGTTATTTCGCCAACTTTTTTTTCTCAGTGTACATGTACGCAATGCAATTGGTCAGTGCACACGTGGAGAACGCTTTTTTTTTTCCACCGCATAAAAACGTGTATTTTGTGTTGCGAGTCGACGACGGAAACCGTTACGAAACCTGCTCGTTAGTATTTTACTCTTCGCCAATAATTTACCAATCGATTCGCAAAACTCGCTACAAAATGCCTGTAGAGACTTTCGTTCTTCGAAGCAATTTTTTTAAATTCGCGCGAAAAACAATACGTCGAAAATCTATGTGACAATAATAGCGAGATAAAGACTCTCTGTTCCAGATAAAGTAAAAAAAGAATAACAAAAAAAAAAAAAAAAAAAAATCACAAGTAATGCTATATTATAAAAAATCAAGCGAAATAAACGGCAGTCTTTTGTTTGATCCCAGCTCGTCGCGAAAGCTCGTCTAAGGGTTAAGGTGACGAATTTACAGGCGCAGTCTTAGTCACCGCGCGACCAACACGCGTCGCAACGCGCGCGCGTTAGGGTAGAAAATCGGTCGCGAGGCCGCCTTGAAAACCGGCCGGTTAAGGTAAAGAACTTCGTGTCGCTTATATCGATTTCGCGGTCAGCCGGCCGACTAAGAAAACGCAAATGGTAGTTGAAAATCTTCGCGTGACCGGTCGCGCGTGGCCGGCTGACCGACCTCTCACCCTCGCCCTCTGCCACCTTCTCGCAACCGCGACTGCGGCACCCGCAATCACTGTTCGAAGTCACCCTAGACCGGCCACTTAGTGACAGGCCAACGTCGTTGACTGTGTGACGAAACGACCATTTTGTCTTTGCGATTATTTTTCGTCGGTTTTTGATTACCCGGCAACGCGAGAGTAACTAACTCATTGCCAATGTTTTTTCTGTTCTCTTCGCGAAATCGACCTTCGCACGTATCTCCTAAATTCGAAACACGTGAAAGTCCCGTTTATCATTCGTCTTTGGAATTCTTGGACGCTGGTTCTCTACCCTGCGATGCGATTGAGTCTAGGTAAGAGGTTTAACACACCGCTTACGGATTGTACGCGAATGCACAGAGGGATAGAGATGTGCGCGCACAGCTCTCTGATTAGGTGCGCCGCGCCGCTTTAAGTGTGCGTGCCCGCTTCTCGGGACTTTGTGATTAAACTTCATGTGCGGAATCTTCCGTTTCTCGCGGGCCGTAGCTCGGCCTGTAGGTGGAAGGTGGTTTCGAGTCACGAAACGTATATTTCAATTTGTGATAGTAAATTATATTACGCACACACACAAACGTGGTTCTTAAAAGAAATTATTAATAAATAAATAAATATTATGTACATCAATTTTTTTTTATATAATTCTTTAAAAATATAACAATGAGACAATTATAAATGTAACAATTTGTCTTGATTTTTTTTTTTATTACAGATTCATGGCTTCCGACGGACTGAAGCAACGCATGAGATTGCCATGGTGGAGAAAACAGAGATCGAGATTGCGGTTGTGGTGGATAGACTGGCGGAATAAACGAGCGCAGCGACGTCCCACCAGAATAACGTTTGAAAAAACGAAGACAATAACTGATATTCCACCGCCTGCTGCTGCTGCTGCTGCTGCTACACCTCGGTCGATTGGATGTCGCGTGTGCTGTTGTCGTAGACGCGCGTCGGACAATCCACCCGCGGAGGTACACACACACACACACGCACACACAACGTATATTTAATTCTTAAAAAGACTCACATATAACAGAGATCGTATATTTCTATATATTATTTTGTCTATAGATTTTTATATAATTTTATCTTTGTATAAATTTTATCCTTAAAAAAATTCCACGATTCTACGATAGAACTACTACTGTTTTAGACACTTAAAGGGAAGTTACAACGAAATGCTACAATGACATCTAAATAATTCTGTAATTAACAATTAACAATTTTTTACTGTATGTCAAATGGAAAATTTAATATAAATTACAAACTTGATGTCGCAGGAACCGGAGATTAAGTTACCGAATCCTTTAGTAGAACACAACTCCCACATGCGTGGGGCTATTCCTTGTCTGCCACTTTTTCTCGCCTGGTTCTGCCTAGTGTGGAATGTTCTATTACCAGGCACCGGTATGATCTATTTTAAATAAATTTAGATATTAGCGCTATATATATCGTCACTCCCTACGTATAATCCCGTAACTCCAAAACGCAAATTTTAGAGGAGAGCAGTTTAAAAGTATAAAGCTTCATATGTTTCCCTATAGTTAGGGATCTTTCGGTTTCAAATTTGGACCTTATTTATGAATATTTTTTTTAAATATTTGGTGACCATAAAGAACATGACTTTTTAAGTGTCATTATGCAATAAACTGAAAATCCCATATGTGACACTTATGTAATTATACGTAGGGAGTGACGATATATACATGTATATACATCGAGAGATTAGTTTCTAAATTTTTTTTATCCTTTCTGTTTACAAAAATAAGATATTTTATAATTTCAAATTGATTTTTTTTTTGTTTTTCTAGGAACTATTTGGAGTGGTTTGTTTAATCTGTGCTTCGGCCAACCGAGATTCTCTCCAGTCGCCGGAATTAAGTCACGACTGGGCGCCTTTATTATTAATCTTGTTGTGGGCATATCCCAAATGTTTACCGTTCTGTTCTGCTTTGTTGGATGGGGTTGGAGCATTTGGTGGGGTATCACTATGATTCGCTTAGCCAGTAAGTTTTATTATTCTATATTTCTTTTATCGAGTTTTGTGTGTGTTTTCTAACGTATTGTCGTATTCATTTGTGAAATTTATAAATTTGTGTTTTTACTTTCTTTATGAAATTCCAACAAAAAAATGTTTTGGACCGACGCATAAAGATAAGATAAATGCATATAAAAAGCGCGCAACACAAATTGCAGGGAAGTACAAGCGATTCAAGGTTTTCGAAGCCAATCGAAACGATGCCGAAGCCAGAGCAGGTGATCCAGTTGCTCCTGGAGTGCCAACTGAAGTTCTACGAGGAGTAGAAAAAGGACGTTGACCATTTTGCAGCGAGGTCCAGCTGAAAAGTGATTTTACTGGCCGCTTATGCGATGATAATATTAACCTCTTGCGTTGCTATCGTGTTATCTGCGAGACGGCGTATTATTTACGAGAAAAAACTTTATATCAAATCACATCTCAGACGTGGTATTGGTCAGCAGCCGCGGTAAATAACTGTGCGGCCGCGCCAATTATAAATACTAACGCAAGGAGTTAATATTAATTATGTTTGTTATTGCGTAAAAGTTGTATTATTAGTGCATCTCGTGTGTTCACTTTACACTGTGTACGTTCGTATATTATTTGTTGTGTCTTTTTTTAAAATTATATGTCATTTTAATTTAGTAACTGGGATAAGATGGGATAAGATAAAGAATGCATTTTCCTTCAAAATAGTCATAACTCCTACATTAATTAAATAAAAAAAAAAAAAACAAAATTTCGCACAAAGAAACTTAAAAGTATTAATACCTATAAGATTTAAAATATTCTTCGAGATTATAAAGAAATATTCTCTTTAGGATTTGACAGAATAACTTTTTTTTTTTAATATCAATTAAAATCTGACAAACATACACACTATCTTATATCTCGTTATCCTCGTATCCCCCATCTTTCTTTATATTATATTATACTGTAAGAAAGGAATGCCTTTTTTTAAGTATGTTATACGTAAGTTTATGCATAAAAACTGATATTATTTTTTCCTTATATATGTGTACACAATTTCTAGTTAAGTTACATGTTAAATTAGTATGAATTTAAAAATAATTCAATGTATGTTTGGATATATAAATATGTTATGTATAATAATATATGATTTTTAAAGTAAATTTAAGTAATGTATATAATAATATACAATATTAATTGTATATTATATACAATATTAATTGTAACAATATTAATTGTATAAAAAAAAAAAAGAAAGCAAACTATGTTAGAGGATAAGACGTAACTTCCTGAATGACGTTGTTAACTTGGACTGTTATTTATATTATTTAAGGTTATATAAACAGAGAAATATTCTGTATATATAATATATGCATATATATTATATACATATGTATACTTTATATATACGTATAAGTATAAAGTGTTGTGACTTATAATATGTGAGTCAAAACATTTTTATATATAAATTATTTTTCTGTACAAAGGATAACAGTTTGCAATTCCTTTTTGATACGAGCCAATAAAATAATTGTAATGATGCTGAAATTTATAGTGAGTTAAAACCTGTACTCAACAGTGTATGCGTGTATGCATGATATATACATATATATGTATGTATGTGTAATATATGATGTTTATAATTACTCAAAATTGCATATTTAATCCATTTAAATCGAGTGCAATAATGGAGATTATTATACAGATAATATAATTGCATCTGTGTTTAGATGGCTTAAATATTTTTTTATAAATTATATATAATGTTGTGTGTGTACTCTAAAAAAAATTAAAACATCATCTTTCAAAGTTTATCAATTTTTACGCATATTATATTTTCTTGTAATCAAAGCACATATTTTGTAGCAAAATATAAGAGCAAAAAATTTATTTTTTTCTAAACTTGAAACATAACTTTTCAATAAACATTTATTTTTTATATATGATATAATAAAGAAAATAAGAATAATCTCTATATAAAATGTATATATTAATATATTACAAAAATTATTTTATTATGATAAAATGTAAAATTTGATATTGATAGAAATATATTTGATATAAATATGAATCTATGAATATATATATATATATAGAACATGAATCTTGTTATGAATCTATGTAGAATATCAAAAATTATTCACTTACCTTTGGAATAACGTTATAACGTTCAACAACAATCCAGTAAAACGACATTACTGTTGTTTTATATAACGCAACTTAAATAGCATTATATGGAATTCGAATATTTATTCCGACAAGTATATAAGACTTAATAATATCTGCGTTATGATACGGAGTTGTAGAAAAGAAATATCCGCTTTTAAAGATTCTTGCGTAATCTTATCTTTTTCTCGTTTGCAGTTGTAAATATTTCACAGACGTTCGTCTATTTTTTTTTGGGTTGGTAGTACACATATATTGCAATCCTTCTTTTTGTTGTATTAACACATCTTGTTTAAATGCGTTAAATAAAAATGAAGAGTAAGTGTCAAATGCTCAAATTTAAGTGTGCATGCTCGTAAAGTATGAAAGATCTACCTTAAGTATGCAAATCGATCGCATGCCCAAGCAAGCTCTATTTCAAGTAGTTATTATCAAGATCTTGTTATTTTTGTTTTTGTTTTGAAGGTCTTTCGCAACACGTTCAACAATAACACTGTCCGATTTGCACGTTCGATTATGCGTACGTAAGAAATGTAATCTATATATACAGGGTGTCCCAGAATTTTGCCGTACAATCTCTCGTAGACAGGGTAGAAGGAGTAAAACTGAGTCGAAAAATCCTGAACCATTTTTTTTCTATTATTTATAATAAAGGAGAACGTGCGGAAACCTGGCTAAAGGTCTACGCTGATTGGCCTGATTTACTCAATAATTACTCCTTTATTATAAATAATAGAAAAAAATGCTTCAGGATTTTTCGACTCAGTTTTACTCCTTCTACCTGCCTACGACAGATTGTACGGCAATTCTGGGACACCCTGTATATATAATTTATGATACAGACAGTAACATTATTGTTTTTGCACAAGGAGTTGTACTTTTCATTGTTAAGATATTATTGAAATATATTTTATTGGTACAACTCCATGTATAAAGACTCCATTAACACGCTCTTGCCTGTACATATATAAAGCAACTAAGAAACGTTTTGACAAATCGATAACATCGATGTAAACATATCGATATCTTCTACGTTTCTTTATTAAATTCTCTTCGTTTGCGAAAATGTCAGTTTCACGAAGACTGAAAATATCTCGAGCGCGACTGATTTTTTCTCTCCGATATATATTTTATTTTATATGTACAGCAATCTCTGTAATGATTTTACAACATATATATGCAATACGTATATTTTATCCATCGAACGTCACTTGCAAAAATATATATTTTTAGAATTTCGCGGTTGTGCGAAAGCCTGTCATTACCATTCGGATGTTCACTTTCCGAAATGTCACGAGAAAACCGCAACGACCGCCCCCACCTGCAGAATTTCGATCTGATGCTTCCCACACTGCATACACATGCACACACGTTCGCGCGAATGCAGAAACTTGCATGCGCGACAAAAGTTGCGACGACTACGTGTCGATAACCAAGTCTGTCTATTCGATTCTCGCGATTTAGCGCGCAATGTGGCGCGTTTGATCATTGTCTTATCAGTCACAATTTATCGCGAATCATAAACTCTGTATAAACTCGTGCTAATTTTTTTTTTTTTTATATGTATCTTTGCGAAGAAAAATGGTCAAAGATACGTTTTTTTTTTTTTGTTTCAAGTTTATTCGCGCGATTTCTTTTATCCCGCAAATTGCTAAACCGATTAAAAATCTGTCACATAATCATAATAAAAATACCAAAATAAAAAAAAAAGAATTTATTGCTCAACAGAAAGATTATGTTACATCGTTACGTATACTTGAAAAACTAAATCTCGTCTCTCGCAATCGGTGTTGAAAATAAGAACGCGAAAGAAAATTTGAAACGTATTAAAAAAAAAAGCATTTCTACTTTCTAAATATAAAAAATTTCACATATGCAAGAACGTGTATAGTTGCCGATGAAGTATGAATAATATATATATAAAGTGTAACTGTAAATCGTATCCTGTTATAAGTTATACGAGTCTGTCGATAAATTTTTGGCAAACGATCGTCGCTTTCCAAAAAAAACGACTGTAACTGTATAGTACCGCTGTAAAATGTATCAATTGGTAAGTATATAGACAGTTCGAATAGATGAACAAGATCGAAGAGTGAATCAGGTTAAAATTCGAAACTCGCACGTTTTTTGGAAACAGAGTGAATGTGTGTGAGAATGAAGAACTGAAACTGTCTGACGAGATTTAGTGCGGAGTTTCAAAATCAAGGAGCGCGAGTTTGTTGAATTTTAATTATGATTCAACTACCGAGTTTATTCATCTGTTCTCTGCCGATATCTCGGAATTAGATCGCAATCAGATCTGTGCGTTAAGAAAGATTTTTAAGATTTGAGAGAGAAAACAGTAAAGTTTGGAAAAATGACGTTTAATTGTAATGTTTTTTTTTTTTAATAAAAAAAAGGTGCAAAATTATTGAGAAAGTTTAATATTCCCCGTATCTCGCGCGATAGGTTTGAATGAGTTTGCTCCATAAAATTTTATACATGAATATACACTTCGAGATTTATTATGGTGCGGTGTTCCGGATCGTTTTTTTTATTAATAATTTACAAATAAATTTATCAACAGGAATCAAATAAGGCCGATACGAGCCATTCGCAGGATGTTTGTGCGGAAACTATGCGTGTACATATATATATATATATATATAAATGTAACGAATTTTACTTGTAAATTTTTACAAGTATTTTTTGAATTGAAATCTCAATTCTTAAAATCATACGGGATGCTGGATTTGCATCTCACATATGAAAAACCCCGGATACCCCCCTAACTAATTTTAAAATATTGCGAAAAAAACTCCTCGGCCAGGAGACGAATTTTGATTCCTGTTGACAATTTCACGAGCGTTAAGTCTTTTAAATAAATTTATCTTTTTGTTTTTTTTTCCACAATTACTTTATGTATTGTATGTTGTTTTGCCTGATAGATTTATTACAACCTTGTTCTACTTCCGAGATATCGATATTATGCATAGTATATGGTGTTGGGTGTCAATGAATCGAGTCGTGACGCTGAATATATTGAGTAAGTATATGTTTTAATGATGTGATTCCATAATATGTCTCAATATGCACAGGTAAATATTCTTTGTCATTATAAGCGACAATGTTACAGTGTGTAATGTGATACGATAGTTGGTTTATAAAGTAACCACTTCTCTCTCTCTCTCTCTCTCTCTTTCTCTCTCTTTCTCTCTCTCTCTCTCTCTCTTGTATATAATTAAGAACTTAAAATAACTCTAAAGGATAAGAACTACATCACTATATCGGCTAGCGACTATTTTAGCGATAATAATAGCCTACCATGTCTTTTACTAGTGGCGCTTGTGAGTGTGTACATCGTTTATCGTATTGTGTTATATTCTTTATCTTTCTCTCTTATTCTTTTCTCTAAAATTGACCTTCTGTAAATCTGTCGCTTTTATCAATCTCAGAAACATACCAAGGCTTTTGACAGAGAAAACAAAAGATAAAATTAAAAACCATACTTTATCTTGCGATAAAGTAAATCTTTATATATATATATATATATATGTATATTTGTTATATTAATTCTTACAAAGCAGCTCGTAAAGTTTTACGACAAACTTTCAGTGTGTTCAAATATAATATCCGCTATGAAA